GCAATCGTGGTACGCTTTGGTACGCTAAAGTTCGTACCAAGACGGAAACTATGCGTACCATCGCGGGAAACAGTCGTAAACTATGCGTACCATTGCGCACCATTGCGTGCCATGCGTGACAGTGCCGACCCAAAACCTTGGATTTGTCCAAGCTCATGCCACGCACTCCAGGGCGTACCAGGGCGTACCATTTTCGTAAACTATGCGCAAACTATGCGTACCCGGTGCGTAAAAGTGTCAATGGAAATTATGTCACGCACTGTCACGCACTGAGGGGTACTCAATGTCACGCATTGGTGCGAAAGGTTCATCACTGGTACGACAAGATCAGCAATGGTGCTCATGGGTTGATGTAGGTATCTGCCAGTGGTCAGGAATTCTTCCCGCCACTTGGCGTGTGTCACTCATTGGTGCTCACAGTTTACTCATTGATCCTCGCAGTGTACTCACTGGTGCTCATAATTTACTCACTGGTGCTCATAGTTTACTCTCATATAATCATTGGCAGGTTTGCTTCACTCACAGACGCCGCACCAATCAGAGGCCTCCACGGGGGGTTTCTTCATAGCAACATGCTTGCCGTCAACGGCTCCAAGACAGTTGTGGTAATTCCATCTGCTACTAAAACCTTCAGCAATAGTCTTCCACTGGTCTTCTGTTCTAGGACAAACTAATATTTCCAATGTAATAGCGCCAGCCCTGATTTCTGGCTTGTAGACCTTGACGATAGCTTTACATACTTCTGTAGAAACTTGCATATAGTGCTAAGTTCAACTCTGAAATTGTATTGGAGACTGGCATAGGAATCGCCACTGGTTAAGAAGCGGAGTGTGATTGCTAACTTCAGGCCAACTTCAAGAGGTTCTCTCATAAATGTTTTATTCTTCTTCAGGTGTGGGGTCAACTTTTAAATCATCTCTTGAAACAGTTCGGGGTGATACGTAGGAAGTTCCGGTAACCTCTGCGATCTTCCTTGTGTAGTTCCGACAATATTTCGTTCACTTTCATCTTCTTCGAAAAATAGTAGACCAGCAGCTGCTGTAAGATGTACGTTTTGCAAAGTAAGGTTCCTTTCTTTAAGGTCTCTGGAGTTCATCATTTTGAAGAGTTGCCGACGGAATGGACCATATCCCAATACCTTTCATTTATATATACTATTTCTATGAAGCGTGCCAGTGCGTGCCACAAATGACTCACAAAATGGTCACGCATTCTTAAAACTGAGTACACTAGCGTAACCAATACCTGACAGTGCAGGAACTGGCGTACCATAGCGCCAGTGCGCGGTCACCTGCGCAAACTGTGTGCAAACTTTTCGCAGATATTGCGTACTGTAAGGGGACAATGATGGACAATGCGGGACACATGAGAGACAATTAACATGGTACGAATGCGCACCAGTGCGGACCGATTTTGCATACTATGAGCAAAGGTTGGTCAGCAACGGCACGCACTATTTGATTGACAGGTGAAATAAACATAATATCCATCCGCATTGGTACGCATTAATGATTACCCATTGCGGATTCAAAATGCGCGAAAGTGTCTTTGGGGCATAAGACTGTAAAAATACTACTGCATAGCGAAAAAAAAAACGTCAGTACGATTTCAAAATCAGAGAGGCACATTAATCAAATCATTCTAGAAAACGACTTACTAAATGGATCAAAGCAATTTTTTGTGAACAGTATGTTGACACATTAGTGATTAATTCATCACAATTCCAAGACATTACGAGAAGGTTTAGAGTCTGTACACAGTCTATACATCGGTATCTGGTGTGCCCACCGCGAGTGTCAATAACAGCAGCGCAGCGTCTGTACACTGAGTGGACCAGACGATCGATGAGCGCCATTGGCACCTGGAACCACACTCTCAGAAAAACCTGGCGCAATAAATCGACTGTGTTTGGTCTCGGTACGACGTTATTAAGTCTTCTCTGAATTTCACACCATAGAAGTTCAATTGGGTGTAAGTCCGCGATTAAGGGATGGCCAGTGCATAAGCTTGACACCGTTCTTCTGTAGAAAGTCCCGAGTAACTCTGGTGGTGTGGGCACGGGCGTTGTCATTCTGGAAAACGTTGTTTTGATGACCTTGATCGATGTAGCGCACTGCTGTGATGCCGCCTGATCCTCTCCCTTGACCAAGATTTTGGAACACCGCAGGACCCACTCTCTGGTTCAAGCCAATTCCACCCCAAACCATTATGCATAAACCTCCCGATGAGTCTCGTTCTATGACACATAGGTCAGAATAACGCTGACCACGTCGACGCCATATTCTGGTCCTGCCATCTGCAGTTGATACGCAATACCGACTATCATCTGTGAACAGAACAGTTCTCCATTGCCTGTGTCGCCAGTTCTGGTGTTGTTGGGCAATCTGTAGACGTTCACGTCGATGGCAAGGGGTGAGTTTCGGTCCACGGTAAGGTCTACGGCAATGGATGTTCTCTCTGGTGAGACGTCGTCGCACTGTATCGGTATTGATGGGTCTTCCGTGTGTTCCCACTGTCTGTGTGCTGTCTCAGATGCCTGTGCGAAGGGATTCTGCATGTGCTGTCGCACAACATGGCGGTCTTGTCGCTTTGTGGTAACCCTTGATCTACCATTTCGGGGCGACCATCCGTAGTTTTGGTGGCCCGAAAGCGTTGCTGAAGCCTGTAGATGGTCCGAACATTGAACTGGAAGTGATTTGCAACGGCTTGGAAATGAAATGAAATGGGGTTTAACGTCCTACTATTCTGCTCCTAAACTGGGCTAATGAAGACGGGGGGGGGGGGGGGGGCAACGGCTTGGAAAGTGTGGCCAGCGTCGAATCTTCCAAGCGACTGGTTCCTATAAAAATGTCGTAATGTCGCAATGTCTCGTAAAAATGTCGTATTGTCGGGTTAAAATGTTGTGATGTCGTGATGTCGGGGTGTCGTGATGTCGGGTTATCGGCCATATTCCTCTCAATACTATGATAATGTCCCGGGATTTTGCAGCGCGGTTTCTCCATGTCGGTAGTGCAGGACAAAGAGCCTGGCAAAGAACAATGTCTAGTATTGTAGATGGGACACATTGGCGTGCACATAAAAGAATCCTTCATAGTTGAAATTCAATGAAGAAATGCCACGGTCCATTGAAAATTTCCGTCATATCACTCTGCATAGTGTATGCCTATCCTCAATAGTCTGATTGGTTCGGAAAAGTAGGAAAATGAAATGAAATGAAATGAGATTTAACGCCCAATTGTTCTGCTCCAGGAGCCACAGTGACTAAGTGAGTAAGACGCTGTAGGTCGCGGGTTCGCTCCCGGTGTTGGCCAAGAAAGTTCATCAATATTTCCCGGCGTGGTTTCCCCGTGTATACATTGGTGTGTACAAAAAGAGCCATTGCCAATTCGAAATAAGAGTAGGCCGTAGCGCCGCTGTCTTGGAAAAATGTCCCTCATAACACACTGAATGGCGTAAGTCCGTCTTTGTTGGCCCAGTCGGAGCAAAACAGTAGGATGTTAAACTCCATTTCATTTCGTTCTGCCCCGACTGGGCTAATGAAGACTGACATACCCTATACAGTGTACTATGAGGAAAAGTTTACATAGATAGCGGGGCTACGGCCTACTCTTATATTGAATTCCAACTGTCAGGGGTCGTTTACGTGCACGTCAATATGTAAATGGGACCTCGGTTTTTCGTCCCACCCGAACGAATACACGTTATCAATTTTCCTACTTTCCTGCACCAATCGGGCTATTGGCCCAGTCGGAGCAAAACAGTAGGATGTTAAACTCCATTTCATTTCGTTCTGCCCCGACTGGGCTAATGAAGACTGACATACCCTATACAGTGTACTATGAGGAAAAGTTTACATAGATAGCGGGGCTACGGCCTACTCTTATATTGAATTCCAACTGTCAGGGGTCGTTTACGTGCACGTCAATATGTAAATGGGACCTCGGTTTTTCGTCCCACCCGAACGAATACACGTTATCAATTTTCCTACTTTCCTGCACCAATCGGGCTATTGGCCCAGTCGGAGCAAAACAGTAGGATGTTAAACTCCATTTCATTTCGTTCTGCCCCGACTGGGCTAATGAAGACTGACATACCCTATACAGTGTACTATGAGGAAAAGTTTACATAGATAGCGGGGCTACGGCCTACTCTTATATTGAATTCCAACTGTCAGGGGTCGTAAACACTTCACGTGTAATGAAGCGCTATATAAATCGAACAATAATAATAATAATAATAATACACGTTATCAATTTTCCTACTTTCCTGCACCAATCGGGCTATTGAAGATGGACATACGCTATGCAGAGTGTTGTGACGGAAATTTTCAATGGACCGTGGCATTTCTTCATCGAAATTCAACTGTGATGGATTCTTTTATGTGCACGCCAATGTGTACACGGGAGCTTGTTTTTTTGTCCCATCTACACAACTAGACAATGTAGGCTACTTTGCCAGACCCTTTGTCCTGCACTACCGACAGGGTGAAACCACGCTGCAAAATTCCGGGGAAGTTTCTTGACCAACACCAGGATCAGAGTATATAATCATATAGTATTAAGAGGAATATAGCCGATAACCCGACATCCCGTTCCGGAATTGAATTCTCTCAAAATAATGACAATCGAGTGAAAAGGTGGATTTCGGGCTACAACGCATGCGTTGACAGAATATGTAACTATCTCAACCAACCATGCAGTCGAAACATATTCGTTGTGTTTAATTAAGTCACGATTCTACTCACACCACCTCCGTTGTCGGGACTGACAGAACTGAATTCCGGGTTACTCGATTGCAATTCTGTCAATAACACATTAATGTTCGGGGCTTTATTTCTTAATAGCAGAGTGCTGATCGACGTAAAGTTATGAATGAAAAAGGGAACACATATGCTTGGAAAAGTTAAATAAATGTTATGAATTTACAATCAAAGCTTCAGCCGGCATTATTGCACACTATATAAATATTGATTAACAGTGGGGTGTTATACCCTTTTTCAAATCTTATAGATTAAAACAATGCTTGGTTTAGCTTAATTAAGAGTCCCGTACGATTTCTTTTCAGAGACTTTTGGATTAGGAATTGTTGTTGTAAATGACTTGTTTCTGTTATTCCTTATTTGTAGACAGATGATAATCGATGATAATATTATCAACACCAACAATGATAACCTGTAAATATATAAACATTTAATTACTTTAATTATGGAACGCGGTAACATGACTTGGTAAAATCTGTCCAAATAAAGAAGGAAATGTAAGGACGTCGAGAATAATCTCTATATACGGCTCTGCTGTGACGACTTGAAATGAATCTTGCGATCTTGTTTATTACGGTTTAAACGTCTAATACATTATTGATGATATTATGGACAATCAAGATTATTTACATATGAACAAAAAATGAATGCGAAGAGACATAACAAATATGGCAGTCGAAAAGTCTGGTCCACGAAACTGAAATTTTGATACTATGAATTTCGGTATAAGTTGTCTGTTCTTAATGAAATCTAATTTGAACTATTGTGATTACCAAAGGGATTGGGTGATAGTTCGGGTCAACTTATTTTAAATGTACTCCTTGTCCTATATCTCATTGAAATCACAAAATTATTAAGTTTGTTCTAGAGATTAACTATTTGCTTTGAAAGGTACAAGGCCATAGCTTATATATTTCTGAATTTCAGGTTAACAATTGTAGTGTTAAATATAATATACTTACATTATACATGAAAGTATTATGATAATAAGCCACTCTCTGTGGCTATGTTTACACGGGGGTGGAGTCGGGCCAGGAGACTGTGTGCAGCTGTATATACTTGTTAAAATCATCACCTAAACACACATATAGACATATATTAATAATAATTATTTATATACGCTCACATTTTCTTGTGATATCTAACAGATCACAGTGGTTCCATATATACTATTCAAAAAAAGTAGGGGATATTTGATTTTGGGGGCATAATACTAAAATATGCAAATGACTACGAAAAAAGTCACTATAGAACCTAACAGAAGAAACATTTCCAGTTACATGTGACGCCCAAACGCACCAATAGCTACCGCATGGAATGCAGGTGATGCTTGGGATCATCATGGGGGTCCAACCCAAGATTTGCACGACTCTGACTTTGAATGTTACAGTCATTGTGGCATTGAATTCCGGGTTGGAAACATCAGTTTAATTGTTTTAGTGACCAGAAAACAAATTTTGATATGCGTCGGCTTACCCAAAATGAAAGGTTACGTGCCCTTGGCATGCTACAGATCGGCACAACACAGGCGGTTGTGGCGCGGACGATGAATGTTTCTCAGTCTGTCATAAGCAGGCTATGGTCCAGATACCGTGATACACAATCTGTACAGGACACACCACGCTCAGGTCGACCAAGGGCGACAACTCAAGCCCAGGATCGATTTATCCGTACCTTGGCCTTGAGAAATCGTGTCATCACAGCAAATCAGATCAGCGCTCGTCTTCAAACAGACACTGGTGTGAGAGTGAGTGGCCAGACGATTCGGAATCGACTGCATAGGGGTCACCTTCGCGCCCGACGTCCTCGCGTGATCCCTTGTTTGAGAGATCATCACATTCAGGCAAGACGTCGTTGGTGTAGGGATCGTCAACACTGGGATAATCGACGCTGGAGCAATGTGATGTTTTCAGATGAGCCAAGGTTCACTGTTGATTTTTTGGACAGACGTAGGAGGGTGTGGCGTCGTCGAAACGAGCGCTTCCAAGACGTTAACGTCATCAGACATGATCGATTTGGGGGTGGTTCTGTTATGGTGTGGGGAGGCATCACTGTTGCTGGAAGAACGGCTTTACATGTTGTTGCAGGGCGTGTTACAGGCCAGTACTACCGGGACAACATCTTGGCAGTCCATGTTGTGCCGTTCGCACGACGTCATGGCCGCCGTTTCATCTTCCAGGATGACAACGCAAGATGTCACAGGGCCAGGATCGTTACAGGTTACCTCCAACAACAGAACATCACCAAATTACCTTGGCCAGCACTGAGTCCCGACCGCTCCCCCATCGAGCATGTCTGGGACATGCTTGGACAGAGGTTACGTCAACGTCAACGACGTCCTGCCAATGTCCAAGAACTTGCTGCTGCGTTGCAACAGGAATGGGACAATCTGGACCAAAATGACCTTAGACGTCTCATTAGGAGTATGCCACGTCGGATCAATGCTTGTTTGGCAAACAGAGGAGGATTTACCCGTTACTGACTTGGTTGTGATGCTGTGGTAACTTTGCTGTTTGACCCCGGGTATCATTTTACCCTTATAATGGTCAGTCTGTGCCTTACTTAGTCTAACGATCATTTGGAATAAATCGATGAATGTGAACTTCATTTCATTTTGTCATTTGTTTCTTTGTCAGTTTCATTAGGTGACTTTAATAACACTTAAAAATCAAATATCCCCTACTTTTTTTGAATAGTATATATATAGTGTCGTCTGAAAGGAATTCATAATAAATTGCTCATTATCATAATAAATATGATGAACACAGTTCACGTGCCATATGATGAACAGGAATTCTCAACTTCTATAAGTTATAATAATAAATTGCTCATTATCATGATAAATGTGATGAACACAGTTCATATGATGAACAGGAATTCAGCACTTCTATAAGTTTTAATAATAAATTGCTCATTATCATGATAAATGTGATGAACACAGTTCACATGCCATATAATGAACACAGTTCACATGCCATATGATGAACACAGTTCACTAGACCATGACACTGGCCCATCAGATAATCGTTAACTGTCCATGGATTAGAAACTGGCGTATCGCGGTGACCTACTCTAGTGATGTCACAATTTTTATCCCATTTTGATGAAACTTAAAACGTATGTTTATAAACCAAGATCTCGATTCCGTCGATATTCGCACAAATCGGACTGTAACTTCCTGTATTATGGCCCTTGGTTGTACAAAACATCGCGTTTTTAGCTTGTGGTCCGTCTGGAGGTCACAATTTTTATTCGATTTTAGAAACCGTTCAAATATATCACCGTTGGTTGGGTTCGAATTTCGTGAAAATCGGTCCGAAACTGCCAAACAAAATGGCCGCTCTCTGTAATCAAACAGTGTAAAAGTATGTAATACCAAGATTTTTATCCGATGTTGATGAAACCTAAAATATATGTTTATATCCCAAAGATGACAGTTCCTTTCGATATTGGCGCATATCACACGTTAACTTCATGGATTATGGCCCCTGATTGTAAGAAAAATCGCGTTTTTAGCTTGCGGAGCCTCTAGAGGTCACAACTTTTACTCGATTTTGATGAAACTTAAAACATGTTGGACTGTAAAATCTTGGATTATGACTCCTGATTGTATGCCTCTTGCAAAACGTTGGCGTATCTTGCATGGCAACCGCTTGTTTTATGAAACAATTAAAAATGAAATAAAATGGGGTTTAATATCATACGTATACGTCATTAGGCGTTTCCGTATACTCTTCGATGAATTCCAACTGACATCTGGATTTACGAGCACACCTACGTCTACACGGAACCCCTGTCAATATCAAGTTTCTCGGACAACACAGGGATCGAACCCGGGACCTCCTGGTTAGTAAGCCAACGTCTTACTCACTGAACCAATGTAAGAGGTAACTAAAGTGACTAAATAAATGTTTTATGTAATCTCTTTTATTAACGTGACATCATTTAAAGCATTTAAATTTAATGTCTATAAATCTCTTTTATTAGAATGACATCAATTTAAGCATTTAAATTTAAAGTCAATAAATATAGAATGACCAAGTAGTATATTAGTACATAGAGAGATATAAATATTTAAAACATACTGGTTTATTGTGAGGCTAATATATGGTATTATATAGTTTTAAGAGGACGGGGAAGAAACGTAATAAATTCTACTAACATATATAGCGCTGCCAGCGGGAAATTGTCCTTTAACATCAAGTTTACCCTCTTCACCTTTGTCACATCTTAAATAAACCCGTAATGTTCTGAAAAATATAAAATAAAAGCAGCTGAATCGTTTACCTCTCTGCATTCTATCTTTAAAAGTTTTTTGGGTTTTTTTTTTCGGAAATCGACATAAAATAATGTCCTACATATATTTCATGCCACATAAATGTTAGTGAAAAGGTGAGATATTGATGCAATAGTCGTAGTTTAGATGTGAAAATTATGAAACTGTGAACCTTTGATAATCACTAACAACAATAACAATAGACATCAAAAAGGTTAGAGTACGATTCTGACATTTCTGATTAATCTGTACGATGGGTAGGGCTATATAACGCTTATATTACAAAACATAGTTATTTTCAACCCAGATTTGTAAATGAAACTGGATAGATGTTGTAGGTGAAAAGTCCACCTGGCAGAGCGTTATATTTATTATGTTAGTAGAATTTACTAAATTCCTTCTCCCATTTAAAGGGGAAGACCAACGATTTTCAATAAGGTTTCCATAAATCTCAAATATACGAGCGTATATAGATAAATAATCCCCTCTGTAACACAAGCAAAAAAGTTTTTGTAAGCGAGGAAATGGAAGAAAAAGAAAAGATAGGTCGTTCACGTCGATATTATGTGCCAAAATGCACTATATTATATGTCTCAGGTGCCCATAACACATGATGAAAAACACTGTCAGCAAACACAAAAACATCGAAGCAGACGATGTACATGTCACTTGCAAGCTGTCAAACAAACCACGTGATGTAAACAATTAGCCATGTGGCGTGAATTTGGCCACAGCGTATTGTTCAGTATGGGTGTACTAAACAATTCGTTTTTATATTTATCCTAATAAACAACCCATTTGATCAGATGTTTGGTCAAAGGACGACGCGTAACAAAATAGAACAGTAAACTTATGCCAAATCTGTATGCTTACTATAGAGAAATGAAATGAAATGGGGTTTAACGTCCTACTGTTCTGCTCCTACTGGGCTAATGAAGACGGGCATACGCCATCCGAACGACTAGACAGCTTACTATAGAGACCAGTGAGCGTGTTGAACCAACTACGTCACTTCCGGTTTTAATAAAAAATTAATTTCTCGCTTACAAATACATTTTTGCTTGTTTTACAGGGGGATTATATTTGAATATATATTTAAGATTTGTGGAAACCTTGTTGAAAATCGCTGGTCTTCCCCTTTAACAAAGTGTGCGAGGGGATAAGTCGCCTTAGGTAATACGGTACGTCATTAAAGGACAATATTGGTGCCAGTCATTATCACATATGTGATAGAACTGGTTAAATACATTCCAAATATAGTTTTAACACAAAGATCATTGCTACGGGAGACTTGTAACAAGCACGTGAAGAAACGGGAAGTGACGCCAAACATGACAAACACGAGTTATCCTTCTATATAACAGACTGAAGTAACGAGTGGTAACAGACAAACGATCGAATTTCATTTCACTGATAATTCCGTTGAAGTTGAAACTGGAATGATCTTATTTGCGTTGAGTGAACGAAGATGTCTCCCCCCCCTCTCTCTCTCTCTCTCTCCCTCTCTCTCTCTCTCTCTCTCCACTGACCTTTTAACATCTGTTGTGGCATCATATTCAATATATAGTCCATTGGTGGCATCTACTTTAAACGCGGCGCTATCTTGAGTTCCAAAACTATAATAATTAGTCATATCGGTTTCACATCCCTGAAAAGTGTACACGTGTATTTAATTTTTTATTGTTTTTCAATTTAGATTAATTTTATCATTATATAATCAACAAACTATAGTTCTCTATCTTAATGTTTGACAAGATAAAGTCTTTTTGATCATATGACAATTTGTTAGTATAGTTGTTTCCACGATTAGATATACGCGCCACGAAAATCCACCTCTTGCTGTACAAGTTCTTTCCGTCATGTTTATATTTCAGGTTCTCCATATTCTCTGATTTCTATGCTCAATTACATATGCCATTATTAAAGTCCCGTCAGTTGAATATTATTTGCATTAGAGATAGTACAATTTTTTGTTAACTGCAGTTTCATTTTCCCACTGTGCCTACATGCGAAACATACGATCAGTGATATATATATTAACATTGGCTTTAAAGAAGTAATATTATTAAAGATGCCTTCCATGGGTGTTTTTCGGGGAATCAAATATTTTTCTAGTGAGATTGGGTGTCTCTACTTTCCAAATAATATTATTATACCAAAATTGTCGTACTTTTATTTGAAATAAATACCCGGCACATATATTCGTCGCAATGTATCTTAACCTCCCACTATTCATCAAAATGAACAATTTTATAGTTGATTTAAATAAAATATGTCTAATTATTTTAAGTTTTCAACCCAGGCAAAATCAAAAGGGCTGTTAAGAAATTCTGTCAAAACAGTCATTCAGATCGATCAATTTTTACTTTAGTTATGGCTATTTAAAGTTTACATTATTCCTATTGATTACACACCGCCATCTTTATATATAGTGCTACGAATTCTGCTATCTTTTTCATTTAAACCAACTAATGTTTTAATAACTCTAAATTGTATAGATTTGTTTAATTCTGGGCAAGAGGTGGGTCAATAATATGGTTTATGTCATTAAAAGAAACTTACAGAAACTGCTGTACATCCACTTTCTCTGAATGAATAACACGGATTATAAGAAAAATAATAACTTCCCGTTTCATCTAAAACATCTTTAAACCTATAAAACATCAGCATTTAATATATAAGAAGCTCTTAAAACTTTTTCAACATCACTTTAAAAAGAAAAAGGAAATATACATAAAACATTAATATAAACATAATTATGTTCAAACCAAGAAAACACCAATATTTAACATGAACATATACCAAATGTTAATAGAGCGGGAGCCCAGGGGGTTAACGTACCTGAAAAGTGTACCAATTTTTTCCTATGTGGTATCAATGTATGCTCCAAAGCTGTTTTAGGTGGTACAGATTTGAGCTAATCTAGCCTAGCTTTTGGTCTAAATATTAGATAACACTTGTCAGGGATACTCCACCACTACAAATATCTGACAATTACATAGCTCTGTCAGGGGTACCCCACCACTAGAAATGTCTGTCAGAGTGTTTTTGTAATACCTGAAGATGTACGGTACACTGCTGTACGATTTTCATTTGGTACACTTTTGAGCTAATCTAGCCTAGTTGGGGGTCATGGCATTTAGGGCGTGGAATACCAAACCCACCACCAGAAACCCGGCAGACATACATTCTGATGATACCAGATATACATACATTGATACCATATTGGTACATTTTTCAGCTAGGTTGACCCACTGGGCTCCCGGTCTATAATTCAACCATCTTCTTCGACTGTAGTCCAAAAATCATGCAAAAGGTAAGAAAAGGGATAGCGAAAATTGCTATATTTAGACGAACTACAAATCGAGATGGTACCGAGCAATCACCCAAGCAGAGTTGTCTTCCATTGCAGATCACAATATTCGAATGCTGAATAGCGAGGCTTGTTTTGGAGACTGGGTACCGAACTGGTCAAATTTAATTGTGGTCTGCCTCCTAAAGAATTTCTATATTAATATGGTGATAACTTGATACACTCGTCTACTGTACAGCATAACACAGAACAATGGCAACAGATAACCAATTATTTCCCCATTTACTAATAATTATATTATAGTCTCCTAGACCGACTCTAACTATTTCCCAAATCTTCGTGGGGTTGAACGCTGTCTACCACAGATGGCGCGACACTGATCAGTAGTGAATATTCGCTAGGCCGCTACAATCACTGGTAGGGATGCCATCGGTGCAGCCTAATGAATCCCCAATATTATTGTTTTCCTTCTGCAAATTAAATTCTAGAACAATTTTTTTTAAGTATTAGAAAAATAAATAAAGGTGTTTGAAGTATATGCAGGTTAAAAATATAGAACCATTTAGTGTAAATGGGTATGTAAAATGAGTAAAAGCACCATTCTGCCCGGACCAGATAACGTCTTATGTCAATAATTACGCCCCGTGATGTGACGTCATATGTTGAAAGCAGTCATCTTTTTCAGAGCTATAAGAAGACTCTTCGCAATACCTCTGTGATACAAATTGAGATGGAGCAACATGTGGCAACATGAACATCTTGCCCAAACGCAGATATGAGGTTCACCATGAAACATTTGAGATACACAAACTGGGAGTAGCATACAAGCAAATTTGCAACTTAACCAACCTCTTATTTCTCGTATCCTTCCGCCTCAAAATCATGAATATTCACCAAAACCTGGCAGAAAAGTACATGTATATTCAAACCCCTTTTTCGATTCTACACCAATAGTAAAAAAAAGTTTGCCACGTAAAAGGGGGAAATGGAAAGGGAGAGAAGGATTAAAATAACCTTGATCCTTACTTTGTTAGAAATAATTTGTGAGCTGTGTCCAAATTGTATTTAGCAACAGATCGAGATTAATTACTTTGCAGTGAAGTCAGTGGACGCCAAGGGAGACAAATCTATGACACCTTCTGAATTCCTACATGAACATGATGTTAATTTAATACATTCGTCTACGTGTTCTGCATCAACAGTTACATAGAATAACATGAAAAGTAAAATCTTCACCCATGAACATGTAACAACCATTTTGATATATTCACGTTTAGTTGATATTAATTGTTATCTAATATGCACGTAATATTTATTACATAAGTATTACATGCCATGCGTTATCAAATTTCAGAATACACCACGCGTTATCTTGTAATGATCCAATCCAGTAATTTTAATACGGTTGCTGGGAAGGTAAAGTGACTGCTTATAAAAGATCAACATACCATTAGCCCCCTAGTTTGACAAACCCCGATCCCACCCCACCGTCATCTCCGGAATCTAAAAATATATATTCTCGTTAACCTCACGTAGCGGTACTGTCCTAGAAAATTTAAAAAATGGATTCTGAGGTATATTCTGGGCGAGTAAAATAAAGTTAAATAAAGTAAATATATTGAATTAGAACATAAGTTTTAATTTTAAACTTCAATCAAGGTACGAATCCCAGGCAGTCCTTTATAAAAGACAATCACTAATAAAAGGCTATATCAGAAACCTTTAACCAAAAATAATCAAGCTACGAACCCAAGTCCATCATGGGAGCTGTGGTGGCTCAGACAGTAAGATGCTGACTCGTATAAACCAGGAGGTTTCGGTTCGCTCCTGGTGTTGCCCGAGAAAGTTCATCTTGTTTCCCGACGCGGTTTTCCCCGTATCTCACAGTGGGTCAGGACGGAGGGCCTGGCAAGGATAGAATTTATTCCTTTGATGGAGTAAAAGAAAAACCACGACCAGGTGTACACATTTACGTGCACGTAAAAGATCCCTTGACAGTTGGAATTCGTATTTAGAGTAGGTCGTAGAGCCGCTGACCGGGCAAAACTACCCTACCTTCGTTGGCCCAGTCAGTGCAGAAAAGTAGGACGTTAAAGGTACATTGTCCCGAAAGTGTTTATCGGGTGGTTATTTCCAACAAAAGTATGGAAAACGTGGTATATATGGAAAGTATGGACAATTAAATGGCAGAAAAAGAAGTTGACAGAAAATATTTAAGTATTTACTTAGGCCTCGATATGTATGGTAAATGGACAGTAAGTAATGAAAAATACATTCTGAAAAATGGAGCCCCTCCCCCCACCCCACCCCACCCCCCACACACAAAAAGAAAGATGGCGTCCTACAACAGTTTATTTATAGCTATATAGGTATCCCCCGGCGAATACGTTTTGAGACGGATTTGAAGCAAATTAGTTTGAATATGTTTCTAGTCCAAATATATCATCAAATCAAACAGTTTGTACGCGGGAAAGTATCTTTAAACCCCATTTCAGTTCATTTCCAGTAAATCTTATCAATTCAGAATCCTGTATTCAACTCAAAAGGTTGGAAACCCAGGATAATTGTCCCACTTTGCTCGCTTTAGATCCAGTTCAGGGTAATTAACCCAGTAAACTTAATATTCGTTTGATGTTGCGTACTCTCAAACCCAGAAACGCCCAGAACAAACAGTTCCTAATACTGCATGTGTTATGGTCTTGATGAACATGACTCACGAGCTTTGGGGAGTTAATTCACAATCGCATTTCAATAATTGTTGTCCTGACAAAATTTCCCTCATAGCAAACTGTATGGTGTATGTCCGTCTTCATTACCCCGGTTAGTGCAGTAATATATGACTTTAAACCCAATTTCATTTCATTCATTCATTTGGTCGAGTTGTTGATAAATGTTTACATACAGGGAATAAAGTTCTGCTCTCTTTTCTCCTACAAGATTCCTTCACACACACCCCTCCCACCCTTCTGGTTCGCCATATTATGTTATTGTTTAAACCGAATCAAGAACATGAGGTTTATCATTATAAAATGATAAGGAGGCAAGGTAATCCGAAGGATTATGAACATAGACGTACGGGGGCAGACGGGGCGTAGCTAACGTTTGTGAATCTGACTTTTCCGACAGATGGGTAATGTGGGAAAAAATTATGATATAATCTAGTTGGCAACATAAAATGGCCAAAAAATCTAATAAAACACTAATTATACGTCTCTGTTTATTGAATATCACAATTTTGTACTGAATTTACTATCGATTAAAAGATTTTGTCTAATATCATCTAATTGGCAATCTGACTTTTCGGGTAGACGGGTAAGGTGGGCAAAAAATTATGACATATTATAGATGGAAACATAAATTGCCCGAAATCTAATAAAACACTAACTTTACTTTTCTTTTAATTGAATACTACGAATTGTACTGAATTGACTATGGATTAAAACATTTTGTTTGGAGCCACACTACATTCGGGCATTGATTATCATTTGTGAATACAGCTCCAACAGTCTGTTATATGATTGAATTAAAGTTGGTATGGAGTGGGATTTACAACCATAGGGCAAAGTGTCTTGACTCACGCGTTAGAATAGCAGACATTATATTTAAACAAAATAAAATAAACAAATATATATTAGCATTTTATTTGTATAACTTACATTTTCAAACTATAAACACAAAAACAACCTTGCAGTTGTTTAAATATATTTTTATAGTTTACATTTTCATCCCATCAACAAAATTAACCCAGCTTTTAAAATTCGTTTTTTAAATATCTTTTCATTTCGTCTTTATGGCCGTAATTTGCAGACTGCCCAAGTTCTGCCTTATCAGTGTTGGTAGAATTAAATCTTGCAGAAAAAACACAAACGGCTAAAATAATCAAACCACACAAAAATGTCAACACAAACCTGCAATAGACAAATGAAACGTAAATTAAAATGTACCATTGTAATTCTGAATTATTTGATATCTAAAATCAACATTTGAAAACCAAAATCAACATATTTCTTAGATACTATAGCAAAACATTAGAACCAATAACTAAGCGTGTTGAACTAAAATAATGTCTTCTACAGAGTTACAATTTTTCAAGTCTTTTATAGTAGATTGTCTTCGTTTTTTGCAGGAATTAGTTACCCCATGATACTGTAATAAAAGTCGTTTGTCTTTTAAACATAGCAAAAATATAATTTTTTTTAAAATATAGAGTCAGTGAAAAGAGACGATTTTTATTTGCAAAGATTTGCAATAGCAAAAGGACCCACTCTTTGCCAGTAATACGGAAACAACTGATGACATAATGTCGACTAGATATGGACGGTAGCTCTCATCACTTCACAAAAATCCACAGTCCTAATTTTTGTTGGAAACAATCTCTTATCCGCCTTCAACTGTGAATACCTAAAGGTATGTTTTCTTCTGTTATATCCGCTTTTGTGCCCCTCCCCCACATTTCTGTTACGTAGGCCTATGTGTATATTTTCTTAACTATAGATGATATCGATGGCTCTTTTAAGCCGCCATTAAACCTTATCATAAACAATACTTACAAAATACAGAGAAGTAGCACAACAACGGCCTTCAAACTGAAAATAACTGGTACGGAAGTTGGGGAGGGTGGTGCGGGCGGTCCAGTAGGTCTACCTGGAGGTGCTGTCCACACAGGTGTTGTTTGGGGACCAGGAACTGTAGGTTTCGGTGGTATAGGACAGGCATATTTAGAATACAAATTAAAGTACTGAAATGCAAATAAATAAAACCAAGGGTTACTTAAAGGTGATTCTAACATTTTTCACGACTTTCACATTACGCTACATTCTAACCAAATAACTATGACAACTTTAAACCTCGTGTCAAAAAGTCGAGTTTTATTAAGCTCTCTTTGATACATTTACGAACCATGTTAGATTGGGTTGAACATAATGGTCGTCTACCAATCGGCATTACATGATTGGCCAAATCCCTCACGGGTTCAAACGAGAGAGTTGAATTACCCCTGTATTTGAAGGCTGGGTGTATCCAGACACCTTGTTTAATGGATATCCCCTCTATAAACGTACTGATATGTAAACTTTCTTAATGTCTGATTCTGGTATGTGTAGTAATGTTTAAACATTATTCATTGAACAAACTTCTGATTCTCGTTTAAAAAACGTCACGGACACTAACAGGTTGTTTCGATTTTCAAAGCAACTACTTCCAGAGGCAATGACTGTACTCCATAATGCTCTTTTTCGTCTCACGACCCCACATAATATTCAAGTCAGAAAGTAATGCGCTACTTGATGTAAATACTTTCATTACTGAAGACCCAGCTATTTAAAAACTCACAATATAAAACGAAGAAATTACTTACATAAGTTTTTACAGGGTCCTCTTTCACAAACTGTAGTTCGCCTTCTCTATTTGAATCACAGATAAGAATAACATTTGCTGTCCTGTAATATATAAAATCTCTCAGTGAAATCCGAAAAACGTTTCTTCGTCTTAACTTACTTTAACGTTAAGACAGGTGGGTGGAACGAATTATACTCCTTGTCATTCTGATGGCTGTTCTAATCAAATTGGGTTTCCTAAACCGTCTCTCACAATCTACAGTTAATGCCTGTATACGTAACAACCCATCATCATTATTGTTTACATTTACACATTATTTGTTGTAAATATAATTTACAGAATGCTAACGTTCCTGTTTTCTTTTTTTATGTAAGTTTTACGTGCACCATAGACCTAGCCGATGGGATGTTATTCCCAACTATATAAGATACAGAATCACTGATAGAAATTGCAATTTCATTCGGTCTACATTCGTTTACATCAGTACAGTTTGGATTCTGTAATTAAAACAGATAGACCGTTTTCTCAGTCAAGCATGGCCCTCTTCCACCCGCTCTAACGTGTAGTTACAGTATAATTTTAAACAATAATGTCCAAATAATCACACCAAAATGATATACATGAATTTATACATGCTGTATGAAGCTACAGCAGCGAAATTCAACTATTAAAACGCTTACTTCTCTTCCAATCTGATTAAATCACAGATCCTGTGTCGTTTCGTTTTTTATAGCTCTTGTTTTTACTACGCCAGGATCTGGAAGAGTTGTTATATAACCCGCATTCTGAACGATGTGAGAGATTAGCCAATGAAACGGTCTGTTGCGGTGAGTTTTTGGTGTGAGGTGCACGGAGCTGAGGGTAAGCCCACTAGAAACATCACCGCTGATCGGTTAATCAAATGTCTGAAATCATAGGGTTAAAAGCCGCTGGTATGACCCCTGACGCGACCGTCCACTACAACCGCTCAGATCTTCATCAGCGAAAGTATAAAAAAAACGAAACGAAATATACATCTGAATTTTAATCAGATTGATTCTCTTGGGAAAGTGTAGCATTCGTTTGTAGCAGGCCACCAACTCTAATTTAAATTGATACTCAACATAGTGCTAACTTCTCAAAATGAATCACCAGTATACCAAAAAACTTACCGCCAAAGCACTGCACTCTCTTAAATTTGACAACACAGTATGGAAGGAGTATGGGAAGTGTGCAAGGTAACAATGGGGTGTGGTTGGGTGATAGAATCTGAATATTATACTACAATGATTTCTCCCAACTTCCTTATGTAAGTGACCATTAACAAAATTATTCAAAGTCATTTTGACCGTGCTAAGAAAGTCAGAATCTTATATTTATCTTCCTTCTGGACAAATATGAAATCCGAACACCAATAATACATCATACCACTGAAGTCAAAGAAGACAAATAGCGACCCGAAATCTTTAATCTAAATAATGGAAGCCAGATTCGGATGAAACATGCCATAACGTCAGATGTTAAGAATACAACTCAATCATAAATATCTGCTCGTACGCCTCCCACCCACCCGTCCCTTATAACGCTTCTTTTTCTTGTATAATGTTTTTTTGTTAGAAGTTCGCATGTGAAAGCAAATCAGTTTATGTAGTTTATAATAAAAGTAACATTTGGTGGTATCAGTACAAAGCACAATGGGGTCAGTGAGTGTGGGGTAAGTACGTTTTAACAACGTATCAATTGTTACCTGACTGTCGATGGTCTGGAATACAAGATAATATGTCATTAGTATATCGAGTGAAACCGCCAGATCAAACACAGTTTTATGGATCGAACGATAAGATCGAAAACAATTTTTTTTTTTCAATTTACTGAACTTGTATTTCACACGTCTTCTAAAAGTCGATAGCCGATAGTCAGGCTCTTAAAACTGATCTTTTATTATACCAAGGTACCTGATTTCTCGTTCTTAAAACTGATCTTTTACTAAACTATGATACCCCAATTACCGCTCTTAAACCTGAAAACGGTAGTATATTAAACCCCAAGTTACCCAATATCTCATTCTTAATTCTTTTTTTTATGGCCACGCTTCTAGAACTGGACTCTTTTTATGGCGGTCGTACTAATAGTAGGATTCAATAGGTCTTTCAACTGCTCTGTTCCGGTGAGAACACTTGATTCAACTAAGATGTGGCTTAGTGGTGGTCCAACGATCAATCTTCGCCAAACAAAATATTAGTCGAACGAGTGAGACAACGTTCGATTGAACCCGTATACCAGTTGATGGACACCAGTGCCCCCAATCCCCTTCATATCGTATTTATTAAAACCAAATGGCTGTTTTCAATACTTTCTTTCATTAAAGTATAAATTCACATACTGTCTTTGTCATTCTGAGTATTATAAAACAAATAATTCTTACTTACAGTGGCATATCAGTGGTTGCAGAATATTGAAATATAAGGCCATATTCCGAGTCTGCTATGGATCGTACCGTATTAGCATAACCAATTACATAGTATTGGTTAACACTTATGTCTAGTTGGCATATCTGTACAAGTAAAAAAAAGATCAAAATATAAATAAATATTTGTTATTCAATTAAGTTTTTTTGAGGGATTGAGGTGAAATGGGGTTGACGTCCTACTTTTCTGCACCGACTGGACTACTGAAGACGGACAAGTTTTGTTCCGACGTGCTAATTTATCCACGGAGTCTCGGTTTTTCGCGGCAATGTGCTTGTTCGGGCATTCCGCCCTGTACCAACGGAGGGTGGGGGTGGGGGCAGCTAGAATATCCTGGAATAGGAACTCCAAGTGATCTAATGTGTTAATTTAATAATGGATTTGCACGATAAATTTTAATTCGGATTCGTGAGGAAACATTAGTCCATGTAGTACATTATTTTAATCTCCTATTTGTACCTAAAATCTCCAACTATTAATAAAAATTAATAATAATTGGTATAACACTTTCAATAATGGCCGAATTCACAGACTCAAAACCATACTTACAGCGGCATTTTGACAGACACTTCCTTCAGCAAAACCGTAACACGGGTTGTAGGAGTAGATATAATTAGGACTGTTTGTGACATTTCTGAAACTATAAAAAAACAACTAAAGAGATGACATTATAGATGTTATATATGAATAGCTTTATAATCTAAATAACTGTCTTAAAATTTCAAATCCTCCACATTTCAAAAGTTGCCTTGTGAATTAATCATTTTATGCTTTGAAACCATAAGAGAAAACTACTGTCGAAATGTCGTGTTATATGTGTACAAACCAATGATTGATTACTTTTTATACGATTCGGCTTACAATCCTTCAACTCCCCATTCTACAAAGATCTTAAATCATTATCATTCTGGATGATGAAACTTCGCACATAAGCAGTTAATAATAGTTAAATAACCAGAATCTACTGAATTTATTTCCTATCTCTTGAAGCAGTATTTTGACGTTTTTAAGAAAGAGGATTCCATGTGCTGTTATCATTATTAAAATAATATATTAAATAAGAATGGATTAAATATGAACCCCTGTGGCATTCTACCTTCGATTTAGCATGTACGTTAAAGTAAAATAGGTAATATAAAAGTAGAATGGTTTAACATAACACCCAAAAAAATTATTTATTAACTATTTTAACGTCCCATTTTTCCAACCAAATAAAAGGGTTATCAGGCTTTAGTATAGGCATCACTAAAGTAAATTCCTTAAATAGGAAGATGTTTTGAGTGATATAATACTACTAATAGTTAAATGTGGTGATGGTTTAGACAAACATTTGAAAAGTCGGATGTCACTAGTCAGAAGACCACATTGGGGCCCAGGGCTATGGCTTGGCCAAAGGTCATCTTCAGATTTACCAGCCCTGGAGCGAAATACAAAAGTATATTTGTTTAGCCTTGTGAACTCCCCGAATAAGAAGTGGTACCAGCAAATGGTTTCATTGAATTTTGTATAAAATGTTTGTAAGCCCACTTATTCGTGTTAACGTATTCCGAGTTATTCTAAATTGTAAAATAGCGAATCATACGAATTTCAACGTACATTTGCAGAAATAATATAATGAATAAGGTGTAGGTCTTACTAGGGTGTATTATTCCTGTTAGCGATAGGGTGTAGATCTATATAACCATCAACATTGGTACAGGAACATGTACTATTAGCTTTACACGGCTTCAGGGGCTGCTGGGCAAATACCAGAGACAAACACATGCATAAAAGACCTACTAACTTCATGTTGAATTCGGGTACTATAGATCGAGTTACAAAAGTACTTTTGATTGTTTTTGATAACGTGTCGTAAATCAGATATTGATTTATCGCTATCATACACGTGATGTTGTTATTTGGATGTAATATCAGTCGTATCAGTCGTGTAATTAAAAGGGGAATGTCCAGTGTATGGTATTAAGATAACCCATGACGTCATGTTAATCGCTCGTGATATTTTATCATTGACCACAGTTGTTACTTCTGACATCGCCAGGAGTTTACCTGGAGAATTTTAATACACATCTGAATATTGTGCAACAGTTGAGATGTCATAGCAATTTGGTGTACCGCGGTACTATATACAATCAAAGTAATAAAGCTATATAAAATCTGTCTTACTAGGGTGTATTGTTGTTATTGGCTATTGGATGGAGGTCGACGAAACCGTCAGCCTTAAAACACGAACACGTACTGTTTAATCCACACATCATCACCGTTTTCGGGTCAAAAGGATTGGCTACTGCTTCAAAGACACATATGGAAAGTACGAGCAACTCCTTTAAGCTGACCATCTTTAAACAGCTAATGATATTTATAAAATTACTACTGCTTGTAGATCCACACGATTTTTTTTTTATCTTATTGTTATACCGGAAGGGTTTTAATATGCGTCACGTGATTAACAGCGACGTAATTGAGACTCAGAAGGACACTTTTACTTCAGCTACCAAACCATCAACACGTGTAATTACTACGACAGTAGAACTCTACGTACAGTGACATTGGCGTCGCCGTAAATTTACTCGTCTTCGACTACGATTGGATATTGGTTTATCGACTCAAAGTACTGACTCAGCAAGTTTAAGTAGGTCGAGTCAATCAGGTGTGTTGTAACTTTCACGCTTGAAAACTAGGTCACATCTTTCGGAGATTTCTGAAGGTCCTTCAAGCGATTATTCATCTTTATTTGATAGATATACGAAGAAAGAAGAGTTAATAAGCATCATTTCACTAATCATATATTAGATTGTGATATAAAACACGATAATATTCTTTGTTTATTGTCAACGGAGAAGCGTGGTCACGTGATTAGTTGCCATTAACGACGGTGTTAATAATACTGTATGGGCGAACATAGTTGCCAAAAATTACAATTACTATTTGATATAGCTGAGTGTATTTAATCCAGTTAATAATTTTCGATATTGATACTGATGTACATTTTGTATTAGTTACAGTAAACACTTATATCAATTGGAGATTAAGATGTTTTGCTGACTTTATTCACAGTCGGTTCAGCCATTATCTTCTCATCTTTATTCTTGGTTGCACTTGTTATTTGTATAGGTGCATGAAAAGAAAAAAGGTATAGGACAGACACTTTTAGATATATACCTAATATAATTACTTATTTGGAATAAAGACAAGTTACTGGTATTTGCTGATTTTTGTTTATTGCCTCTCCTTTAGACATGTAGACTGCCTTGGCAGACTTGACGTTTGGCGTAGCTGGGTAGAAAAAGGTCGTGTTACATTTGGGGAAGTATTTGATGGCAGTTCAGCTTACGCGTCACCACCAGCTCTGACATTAGCACAAATTGAAGCTAGTCAAGCTGAATTCTATAATCAGTTTTCAAGGAAATATGATGCACAGGTGGCTATGCAACGTGAAACAACGGATACACTGATAGAAACAATGACTCTGATGTTAGAGCAAGTTGGCTTACAATTGCCCTTGTCAGATTCAATGCAAGTGCAAGCTGCTTCCACTCCGGTACCGGTTCGAACGTCTTCCAGCGAGACTGCAGATCCGGTGATAAATATACTCTTCAAAAATGTAGGCGATATTCAGAAACAATACAAAACAGCGGACATGCACTGCTGTTTTTATTAGAGGCAACCAGTGTATGTTAATAACAAGCCAATTGTCTACACGTGAACATAAACAGTTCATATGGGCGGCTTATTTGACAGCCTTATTTCACTCGCAAAGAGATAAGCCGCCAAAAGTGAAAATGGACGTTTTTGATTTTTGTTTTAATAATGAGTAATTGCTCCACCAATCCTCAGACATTCAACAATTCGTCGTGGCATGCTCCTAATCAACCGTCCAATCACGATTTGGGGCAATCTGACCCACTCCTCTTGCAGTGCCACGGCCAATTCTTACAGTGTTGTCGGTTGACGTTGACGTCGACGAACGCGTCTCCCGATCAAATTAAACACACTAAAGCAAAGATACGCTGATTATGTTGAAGATGTCATATTGCAAATTAAACGTAACACACTAAAGCAAAGATACGCTAAACAGTAAATCTTATGCAAGAACCGATAGGAAAGCAAACATGGATAGATAAACCAGCAGTTTTCATCAACCCTTCTTTGAATTGTCAAATTTGACAATGAACCCCTCCCGCGTGTATGGCGCTATTGCGTGTCGCATGAGCAGCTCAGTGGTGTTTGGTGTGACCCGTGGAAACTGGTACGACAAAAGGTCTGTGCAGGGTGATGGAACCGACTCTTTACATTATGAATCACGTTGTCGTAAGGAGAGGTCTTCCTGGAAAAAAAATCATCTTCCTCGCGTTCTTTTTTGTGTAGGTCGAAAAGTCGTTCCAATAGAGATCAGTCCACTTCATCATCTTCTTCATCTGATGTGGAAAACAATACTATTCTGGATGAATGCATTTCCTCTGACAATGAAGATGATTCTAATCGTCGTAGAGGTCACAGTCCCAATGCACCAAAGATGGTAAGATTTTCTGGAGAAGACTCCACAAGTTGACTGGTGTTTCATGCGTTTTGCGCATCGTCATCACTGGTTAAGGAGCTGCGTCGTTGCTTTAATAAAACAGAAGCTCATGTTGTTTCTCAGAGGGAATTGCATTCAGTCAGACAACAAAAATCTCTGGAGGATTTTGTCCAGAGGGTGCATTTCCTGGTCTTGGATGGTTGTAGGGAAAAGGAAGCTGCTGGTCTAGCAATGGTAAAGTCCCCGTCCACTTTGCATCGGGCTGTCACGTATGTGAAGGGTTCTCTGGCTAACTCTAAGGCAATTTTTGAAGTTAAGCCTGCTCCTGAAGTTAAACAGCGTCAAGTTTCCCGTAGGATGTTCGACCGCTCTTCTGGTCAGCCGTTCCAGTCATAGTCCTGGTCTGGATCCAATTCTCCCTCTCGCAAGTTACCTTAACCTGGAAGCCTAGGGATGTCCCAGTTGATGCTGTGATTGACACTGCAGCCATGATATCATTGGTATCGACTTTTTTTTTTGAATGTGGTGGAGAAAGTAGAACTAGGTAAAGTTGTTCGACTGAAGGGAATCGGCTCTGAGCTGATTTCTGGTCATCTATTGCCGGATGTCACTTTGGGAATTCTTCTTTCATACTGAATGTTTGTGTTGCTCTCATTTCTGACGAAGTAATTCTTGGCTTGGATTTTTTTAGAACTGTGTGGTCAATCAGAGAAATGGTACCGTTTCGGTAGGAGAGGAGGTTCTAACTCCTTCCTTGAAACGTATGTCTTCATCCGAAATCAAGATTTGTAGAGTAACTAGTGCAAGGACGTATAAGATTTCTCCCAATTCTATACAAATGGTGGATGTTATCTTCGAGTGTCCATTTCAAGAGGATGATGATTATCTGTTGGAACCAGTTCTAGACCACCCTGGAGTATTTATTGCGGTTTCCGTTGGTAGAAGGAAGCCTGACGTAATGTGTGTTGCTAACGATTCGAATAGCTTTGTGTGTCTACGAAAGGGTTCTCATCTTGCTAACTCTGAGTTGGTGGAACAAGTAGTGGCCCCAGACTCTGACATCATTCATGACGTTCGTGTTGCCTCCCTGGAAGCGGAGGATGGGGTTAAGAAGGACCTAGATTCTCATCAGGCTTCTATTCTCTCTTCTCTTCTAAAACAATATGGGGATGTTTTTGCCAAACATGATTTAGACTTGGGTTGTCTCACTGCCGTTAACCAGGACATCAATACTGGAATTGCACAACCTTACAAACAGTCGATCCGTAGAACACCAATTGGTTTTCAGGAGCAGGAACAAGCTCACTTCAGTAAGATACGGGGGTAATTGTGTCGTCCCATTCCGACGGTTCGTTGGTGTGTTGATTTCCGCATCCTGAACGAGAAAGCCATTAAGGATAACTTTCCCCTTCCGCTGATTGAAGATTGTCTTGGTGCCCTTCAGGGCGTTCATTATTTCTACACTCTGGACATGGCTTCAGGGTATTATGAAATCGAGCTGGAAGAGGAGGCCAGGAGGAAGACTGTCTTTATAACAAAATATAGGTTATTTGATGCATTTTGGATTGTGTAATGCACCAAAAACTTTTCAACGAACATTACAATTGGTTCTTTGTGGTTGACCTGGAACGAGGTTCTTGTGTACATTGACGACATTGTTGTTCTTGGGCGGGATATTTCGACCTCTCTGGCTAACCTGGAGGAGGTTTTCAAAAGATTTCGTCTATATTATCTAAAGCTTAAGCCGAAAAAATGCTTCCTTTTCAATCAAGATCTTTCAGAGGCATTTAGTAAACGGATAGAGCAATACATAAAAACACATACTTATGGAAAAACAGCTACTTAATGTATTTGGGCGACGTTTCGAAGAGTAAATAACGTTGAGAGAATACTCTTCGAAACGTCGCCCAAATAAATTAAGTAGCTGTTTTTCCATAAGTATGTGTTTTTGTGTATTTTTCAAGCAAGAGATTGATTTCCTTGGTAGGACAGTAAATGCCAAGGGAGTGTACGTTTCCAAGTCAAAGTCTGAGGCAGTAGTTTCTTGGGTGGTTCCCCTGAACAAGGAGCAGGTGGTGTCGTTCCTGGGATTCGTAAATGATCACCGGAATCATATTAAGAACTTTGCGGTTTTGGCTGCAGATTTGTATGACTTAACCAGGGGCAAAGCCGAATTTGTCTGGTGTTCTCAACATCAGGGGGCATTTGACAATTTAAAGTACGCAGTCACTTCAGGTCCATGTTTTCGGCATCCGGTCGTGGATGGACAATTTATCC